TGTTAGGATCTGTCAGTCAGCTGGCGAAGACTTCGGCTCAGATAAGCAAGAACCAAGTTGCTGCGCCCATGTGCGAAAAGGCCGGTGAGGACCTTTCCTGTAGTTAGCTGAATAGAGGATCTGCTTGGCGGTAAGTCCCAGTAAGAGTGTTTTTCCTTTAGTAAGACCGATGGACTGACCAGTCAGTCAAAGTTGTTTCTGTCCATGTATGGCATCATGAAGGGTGGTCAACACAGATCTCACTTCGGTGATGGCTGATAAGATCGTGTCTCCTCAGAATGCTTTCCTTGTCTTTCCTTGTCTTCTTCTCTCTCCACCCGTTACACAGCAATATACCCTAGCTCACAAGCTCGCAGTGGTTCGTCTTGCCAAGCTGGCAATCCTGACAGAAAGACGTGAAGGTATGCACTGGGTGCACTGGAGAGGGGTATCGCGCAGACATTGACTGAATGCATACCCTTCACGTTTGTCTTCTTGTTCGTGTTTTACGGCTGGTGCGCGTCCTCTCATCTCTGCCTACCGTCTGCACCATGGCGTCGAGTCCTGTGAGCCCCCGTGCTCCCAGTCCGCCGCCAGATGGCCCACGAAGTGCCTCAGCTGCCACATCTCGGCCTTCCAGCAGATCACAAAAGAAGAAAGAGGAGCGACGAATGAGGGTTCTGCTCGGCTATCAGTCTATGGTGAGGGAAAGCAGCTGCGAGTTTGCTGACAAGGAGAGGCGCTTCGCTGAGAGCCGCGACCACGAGGAGGAGATGCGAGCGCAGGAGCGACAGCGGGAGATGTACATCCAACTCCACGCGCAGCTGGAGGATGAAATCAACGTGCTCAGGGGCAAGAAGCAGTCTCTTGAAGATGCTATCCAGAAGCAGACGGATGAGAACGTGATCATCGTCGACGAGCTGCTTCAGCAGGGCGCGCGCAACGAGCAGCGTCGGGCGGAGATCAGCGCGCTCAATGATGACATTAACCGGTATCGGCAAGAGAAGACGGCCCTCCAGGCAAGACAGCAAGCGCTGCACGTCAGCACCCATGGATTGACAGCCGAGAAGCAGTCCCTCATCGAGAGCCTGGAGCGTTTGACCGTGCAGAAGCGACAGGCGCTGCAGCATCAGCAAGAGCTGGAGGAGCAGCTGCGAGATCTGATGGCTCAAAGCGGCAAGTCTGGCGGTCTCGTCGCCTACCACCAAACCGACCAATGGTCCGCCAACAACATTTCATCGATTGGAATCGATCCCGCACGCTGCCGACCACTTGACATTCAAGGCCTTCCTGAATGCGCCGGTCTGCGTGGATTCTACACGGCATCGACAGAGGAGATCGCATCTGGAAAGGCGATGCGGTACGGGTGGATGGTGAAGGTGGAGCTGAAGCTGGGTCGCGTGAAGGAGATCTTCACACGCAAGCCCCGTGACCTTCCGAAGAGCGAGTCCCTCTCATCCGAGTACACCTTCACCTCTCCTAGTCGAGGGCAGTTTGACAGCTTGATTCTGCAGAGACGCAATGGATTGGAGTTCATCACTACGAGGCCCGACCAAGTGATCCGACTCGAGGATTATCAGTACCCTCGCCCGCATTAGTTCTTTGTTGGATGTGATGTGTCTGCCATTTGTGAGGGATAGGATGACTTGTGTTGCCTGTTGTGTTTGCTGAGTGGAGAGTGTCGGTACAAACAGACGAACGAAGACTTTGTGAGAACTGAGTCCACCGGCAGTTCAGCTGCCACAGATCCATTTCCATGTATTTCCATGAGTGTGTTGCTGCATTCGATTCGATTTCCCTTCCAGCGTTTCTCATTGCTGCCGCGCTCACGAGACAGCCAGAAGTGAAAGGGAGACGCTGAGCTCGCAGACGACTCGAACGACATCGCAAAGAGGCCGCGAGAGGTTCTTTTAAGGTAGGCCCCACCAGCCTCTGCTGTCGTGCCATGCGCCTGACCTGACTCTCTTCTGTTTGATGGCTGGCAGTGAGTGTCACGGGACCGTCATGGCTGACGGGCGGTCGCAGGCCCCCTCGACGCTCGAGTCGGTGACGGGCGAGATGCTGCAGAATATGATGGACGACATGCGCCGCGCGATGGACAGGGAACGACAGCAGAGCGACAAACGCATCAAAGAACTCGAGAGCCAACGCGACGAATACAAAAGAGAGAGGGATGAGTGGAAACGCCGATGTGAAGAGGTACAGGAACAGGGACGCGGACAGCTGATGGACACGAGCACACAAAAGGAAACGAGTTTGTGGCTCTTTCTCCGCAGGCTGAGGCTAAGGCTGCAGCCGACGACGAGGCCCACAGCCGTGTGGCCCGTACGATTGTGCATGACGGCAGCCTCTACCACGGCACCATCCGCAAAGTTGGCGGCACGGAGGTGCCCCACGGCACGGGGCTGCTGCGGTCGCTGGACGGCGAGGAGAAGCTATATGAGGGCGAGTGGAAGGACGGCAAATATCACGGCAAGGGCAAAGAATACGCGCCCTGCCAAGTTCTCAACCAGGAGCGCCAGTACGAGACCAAGATCTGTCTCGTGTATGAGGGCGACTTTGCGGGCGGCAAACGAGAGGGACAAAAGGGCACCGAATACCAAGCCATGAACGGGTTCATGGTGAAGGCGTACGAGGGCGGCTGGGTAGATGGAGAGAAGAAGGGAACTGGCGTGGCGGTGTACATGCAGTGGAAACAGAACTACTATCAAGGCCCGACCCGCGACGGCAAGCCACACCGCCAGGGTGGGAGAGAGCTCAGGCATGACGGCCAGCCGGTGTACGAGGGCGAGTGGAGCGACGGCAAATATCACGGCAAAGGCAAAGAATACGCGCCCTCCCAAGTTGTCAACAAGCGGCGCCAGTACGAGACCAAGATGTGTCTCGTGTATGAGGGCGACTTTGTGGACGGCAAGCGGCAGGGTGTGTGAGTGTGTCTATATGGCTGGCTGTGTGTTGCAGTGAGGGGAGGATGCAGTTCTTGCCATTTCGTTTTCTTTGTTCTTCGTGGCTGCCTAGCTGCCGGTCGATGCATGTGTGTGCTGGTGCCTCTGTGGTCTGGGCGTGTTGGTGTCTTGGCTGCCTGTGTGCTTTTCTATTGAGGTGTTGATTTGGATGTCTCGTGGACTCAGGCTCACTGGCTGCAGGCGGGTCTGTTGGGGTGTCTCTGTTGGCCTTCGAATTCTCTCTGGCTGTCGGTCTTGCTGTGTGTAGGAAGTGTGTGTGTCTGCAACAGACTCAGATGGGTACGACTCAGGAAGTGTGACTTTGATGTCTCTGCGACTGTATGCGGGTGTGAGAGTTGCTTTAAAGCTGTGAGCACCTAGTTGACAGCTGTCTGACTGAGCTGTCTGACTGAGACTGTGTGTTTTCTTATTTCTGCCCGGCTGCATTAGCTGCCCGTTGATCTGAATGTGTCTTTTGGTTGCTTGTCTGTGTGATCGGACAAGTGTCTCAGGCCTAGGACCCACACGCATCTGTGCCTTGCAGCGATATTTCAAGTTTTGAATTGACCGGACCTCGAGACACACACATACACACACACACACACACAGAGGGAGAGAGAGGGAAAGAGAGATCCAGTGTGTGCATACAACACCCATGCAGACTGGGCGACTGGCTTGCTGGCCGACTGGGCGTGATCACGTAATGGCTCTATGGGAGAGTCTCTCAGAGAGTGAGGCAAGCAGGGGCTGATACATTGGTGTCATGTGGCATCACCAAGCTCACAGCCGTCTGTCTGCTGATGTGTCTCTGTCTCTTTGCTGTCTGTAAGCTGAAAGTAAGCTTTTCCAGAGAGGTCTTCACACCACTGTAATGATGAGCACTTTCGTGTGAGATGTCTTTACTGCCCTCTTTGCGATGGGATTGAGACCGAAACTGCATTGCCATCTATCATCGATGTTCGGTCTCATCGTTCCCGGTGCAGAGACATAGAGACACCCGCACATACACACACGCCGAGCACACAGCAAGAAGGTCTGTCTGTGCTGTCAGCAAAGCACAAGGAGACAGGCAAAGGAAGACAGCACACGTGCGCCGAGACATAAAAGGTCTTCGCTGTCGTTCGTTCGACTGTAGGCGTGTTTGTCTGTTGTCCTTCGCCCTATTCCTCTGCCGCCATATGGCAGCAAGTGTGTGAATGCTCACACATCGCGACCATCCATTCAGCACCAGACAGACGGGACGCAGGACAGCTCACCATAACAGAGCGTTGTGTGTCTGGAGGTTTGTGTGTTGTTTGTGTGTCATTGTCTACGGATGTGTGTGTTTGCATCCGTTGGGGGGAGGGAGAGAGGCAGTGTTCGATGTCTTGTGGCCTTACGAGACTCGACGGCTGCGTGCGCTTGTCTGTCTGCTGAGGTGTGTCTGACTCTCTCTCTGCTGTCTGTGTGCGTGTAAGGGGGTGAAAGTAAGTCGATCGGAAACACAGCTGTTCACACCTTAGCTATGAGGACTCTCGTGTGAGGTGTGTTTGCTGCCCTCTTGCGATTCCGATTGATTTGAGACCGAAAGTGCATTGCCATCGTATTAATTCAGTGTCTGTCCACATTTGGGCGTCCTCACCTTTGACACAAACCCCAAGGCGGACAGACGCACATTTGTCGAGCACACATGCGCAAGGAGCGAACAAACAGACAGTCGCCAGCAAGTGTATGAATTGACAGCCCATCCGAGGACTTAATACTACATGATGCACTCAATAACGCACACCAAGACCACACACGCATCGAGACACAACAGCTCTTTGCTGTCGTTCGTACGGCTGTAGGGCGTGTTGGCTGTTGTCCTTCTCCCTCCCTGTGCGGCTGACCGGCAGCAGGTGTGTGAGAGCTCACACACAGCGGCCATTCAGCGGCAGACAGATCGGACGCAGGACAACAGACAGACACACACAGCAATGGAAAATCACCACTACAAAACTCGAGAGGAACAGAGTACATTCATGGCAATAAAGCCATGAGCACCAGAGAGCACAGCCACACCCCATCGCTGACCTCATCCATGGGCCCGGCACACCATCGACCACCCCGCTCCCCTCACACCCGCGCCCCTCTCTCTCAGACACACAGCAGCAAGCGACAAATAGACAGCCACCATCAGCCTGAGGTGGAAGCAAAAAAATTGACACACAACCGTCAGGCGTCCGAGCAGATTTGGCACGAGTGGCAATCGGCGGCAGCATGCAGAGAGACATGAAACGGCATGCACGCACACGTCGAGCCACGACAGGCCTCCGTGGCTTGTACTGCTCACACAGTGGACGGCGAACAGCAGACGAAGCGCCCACAGACACATCCCAGCAGGCGGAAAATCACCGCAGCAACACAGCGACAATCTCCATCACCATATCCGCTGCTCACAGCAGCAGATCCGTACAGCAGTCGACATAGTGGATGCATCCCCTCATCCATCGATCTCGATCAAGTGTCTTGTGCACGTAGCGTCACGTTCGTCTTCAAGAGGAACCTCCATCGCCTTATCCAGGGGATGGAGACCGCTCTCAAAGAACTCCCTGACGCCGCATGCACAGTGACACGACAGCACTGACACAGGGGCCCCAATGACAACTAACTGCACAGCCACCTAGGCCTGTTTGCCCGCCTCCCCCCTCTCATGGTCATGGCAGCATGTGATCGTCTGGCCTCGTCTCGATGAAGCCACACATGAAGCCCCACCGACCCGCATTCCTTTCCGCGCCACGAGCAGCTAAGCTACAGGCTGGCTGTCCATCGCCTCACTGTCCTCACACACCGGCACGCCACCGGCAAACGAATCTCTCTCACATGGACGCTCGCCTCTCTCAAACACAATCGTGCTATTCCCACTCACACTCTTCGCCATCGCACTGCCCGGGAATCCCAACCCCCGCAAGAATTCCATGAGTATGTCACTATCACAGGACGCCCCTTCGCCCACCCTCAGACAGAACTTCTCAACTGTGGGAAATCGCTTCAAGACCCACCAGGCATTGAAAGCAAAGGACGAGACACACACGGACAGCGACGGCAGTGCAGGCGGCGGCGGCTGGTTAGCCGCCCCTCGCCCATGACGCACATGGAGAACCACTGTCACCTTCCCCACCCTAGCTTTCAGCACTGCATCGAGCTCATCTGACTCCTCTTCTACCGTCTGCCAGTGAAAAATTGGGACTACAAAACCACTCTGTGCCGGTCGCGCGCACAGATTCACTTCCACTAACACGTCGAGAGGCCCCCCCTCGACAGCACAGTGCTTCAGCCCCGCCCACATCAACGGCACAACGGCGGGCGGCCCGTTTGTAGACGTGATCGGCCGACGCATGAAACCGACCTTGGCCAGTTTGGGCAGCCGGCCCATGACCTTGTCTACCCCTCCCCCATACAGCGACACACCCTCTGGCCCTCTCCTGTGGTCGAGGTAGAGCGTCTTGACCGCGCCAAACTGCGCACTCTCAGTGATCCAGATCGGCAACGGCTGGCGGACATGGAAATCCGTCATGCCCTCCGGAATCCAAACGTGCAGTTTGTCTGCATTCTTGAAGGAGAGGCCGTAGAGCTCGCGCGCGCCGGTTGCATGTTGATCGAGGAGGTAAGGGTGGAGGTTCACGAGTGTGGCGCTCGACACGAAGAACTGCAGGGTCGATCGGATGCCGGCGAGTTCCTCTGCCTTGCCGATCAGCGGCAAGTGGATGTCAAAGGGCGCGGGGCACTCGCGCGTTGCTCGCCTGACGAGGCGCACGTCTCCGTTGTCCGTCTGTCCGGCGTGGTACAGCTCCTTCGCGCCCTTCGCCAGCCATGCGCTTCGGAACTTGTGGAGCGCCTACAAGGCATGCCTTTTCACATCATCAAGATGCCCACGTCAGGTTATAGTGTTTTATGCATGTGCATACCTTCACTTGAGAAGCATCGGCGAATCTCGTCGTACCCCACACAGCCTCCAGGCACTCCAGGCACTCCAGGCCGCTAGCTGGGGGAGCTTCTGGGCCAACAAAGCAAATGGCGCCCGTGAGTGACGTGATGGTAGAGTTGGAGGGCGTTCTCTCGAGCGATTCGGCAACTAAGTGAAGAGGCGTGTACACAGGAGGGTGTCCATCAGCTATCACCTACAAGGGAATGTCAACACAACAACACGTACGTTCTGTCCACCCGCCCATGGCCACATTACCCCCCGGCACCCACCTTGTCGAGGAGATGGAGCGACCGCAGGCCGCCAGTCACCCCCTTGAGCATCGTCAGCCCCCCCTGATAAGGCC